GTAACTAGTTAAATGAAGTCATAAGGGTGGGGCCAATAGAACTAGAGAGAGAGAGAGAGAGAGAGACCAGAGACCCATCTCTCACACACACGCACAGAGAAGAAGCCATGTGAGGACACAGAGAGAAGGCAGCGTCTACAAACCAGGAAGAGAGGCCTCACCAGAAACCACCCTGACGGCCCTTGATCTGGGACCTCTAGCTTCCCCACCTGTGAGAAAATGAACTCCCGTCATTCAGTCTACCCCGTCCACGGTGTTTTATTATGACAGCCCTGGCTAACACCGAGGGAAAGACAATTCATTCACACGTGGATGAAGACAGGAGGTGGATTGAAGGCAAGCCAACTGAGCTAGAATCGCTGGGGCGTGGTGCTTCAGTGGAAAGAGAAGGCAAGAAGGAGTGTGGAGGAGGAGGAGGAGGAGGAGAAGGAGGAGGACGAGGACGAGGAAGACGAAGAGGAGGAGGAGGAAGGGATGTTGTCCGGGTTTCAATCTTGCACAGCGGGTGAATTGTGGTGATGCTCACTGAGTCTGAGTTTGGGTGCTGGACCTGGGCAGGCAGTGTAAGTGTAGTTAGGATTTCTTGGTTGTCAGGAGGAGAAATTTAACGGTAGGAAATTAGGGGAACTATAACGGAAGTGGAACCGCATTGAAAACCAAGGTCAGGGTTTTTCCAACAAATGAACTCAGTTACATTCAAATTCTTCACTCGTTTAATACAGTGCCTTACAGATCATTCCACTCCGCAGGAACAAACCTACATTCTTCTTTGTAGCTCCCGCTACTGTTCTATTGAACAGAGGAGACATCATCTACCTATTCACACCCACCTGCAGCGTTAGGTCGTGTCCAGAGACACTTCACTGCCAGCACCGCGTCAGGCGCACCCCCGTACGTTTTCTCTGGGCGCAGCCTAGTTCCTGGCCGTGAACGGCTGGGTTGAAACGGATGTGCATTTTGTGTGCTGAGAGCGACTGCCAAATTCCCTCTGAAAAGGCTGTACCGTTTATACTTCTAGCAAGAGAGGATACATGTACGGACTGCTTCATAACCCTATGTATGTTTCTTAAAACTACTTTGAGTCATGACCCCTTTAGATTCTGCTGGAAGCTCTGAGTCCTTGTTGTAGGGAAACACGAAGACGGGCACATACCGAGCCCTTTGCAGGTGCACAGACCACCGGGGCTTCCCACCGCCTTATAGGAAGGACCCCTGAGTAGCGGTGTTGGAACGGGCCTCACGGTCTAGACCAGTGCGTCAATCTCAGCTGCGCATTCGAATCACCCGGGGAGCTTTGGGAAATCCCGGGCCTGGCCACTTCCCAGACCCGTCTGAGCAGATTCTCTAGGGAACAGATCGAGGTAGCAGTATTTTTTTGCAAGTTTTCCGGGTGATTCTAACATGCACGCAATGGCAAGAACCATTGCCACCTAGGAGAGGCCTGTAGAAAGATTAAATTAATAATAATAATAATAATAATAATAATAATAATAATGTGAAGGTAGAACAGGGGGAAGTGCACACGTTGCTCTCAGGGGCCCAGACACGGCTGCAGGAGCCTTCACTGTGATGAGGGGTGGGGCTGGGATCTGGCATGGATACCTATGTTTTCGCTGGGGAGATGTTCCAGGTATTCTAAGTCGTGGCCAAGGCCAGAGTCCCGGTGCAGGGGAGGCCTGCTGGGGAGAAGGCTCCCTGAGGGGTGAGAGCAGAAGGAAGAAAAGTCAGATGCACCCCGAGAACTTGCAACTTCCCAGCCAAGGGCAAAGGGCAGCAGCAGCTCCCGCAGTGGCTCTGACCAGGGGCCTGGCCAGGGGGCTGGGCAGCCGTCACCACCGGCTTCAAGCTGCCGTGGTGGGAGGAGGCTTCAGGAGCTGGATCCTTTTTTTTTTAAGATCTTTCTTTATTTAAACTACATTTTTATTTATTTCAGAGAGAGGAAGAGGGAGAGGAGAGGGATAGAAATATCAATAAGAGAGAATCGTTGATCGGCTGCCTCCTGCACGCCCCTGACTGGGGATCGAGCCTGACACCCATGCCTGGGAATCGAACCATGACCTCCTGGTTCATAGGTCGTGGTTCAACCACTGAGCTATAACAGCATTTTAAAAATGCAAGTTGACCCCAACCGCCCTGAAATCATAGGCAAAACCACGCATATGCATCTTCTGAGGAAGAGGTTTCACAACTTCCATTCGATTTGCAGATGAATTCAGAATGAGTGGGTGATCAGCCAAAGAGGAAATGATGTCATTGCTCGCTCAATTACATTAGCTGTCGAGGCCGCATCTCTCCAAGCGCCGTTAGGTCAGTACTGCGTGGTCGGCGCTGAGGGTAACAGCGCACATCCTTGGACTGGCCCCTGGACCTGCGACATCAGACTCTCGGGAGCTGGCACCAAGGAACCTGCATTTTAAGAGAGACTCCCTGGGTGGTTCTGGGTGATGCTGACGCGCTCTGAGCGTCACGAACGGCCTGGGCTTCAGTCTGAAAAGCCACCAGTTCCGGGAAAGCGACGTGAGTGGGTGTGGAGCCCATGGAGCACTGAGGCCCAGCGTGGGCACACATCACCTTCCAGGACCACCGCCCACAGCCCGGAACCTCGGCCGGGGAAGCCCTCTCCTGCCCCAGTGCCCCCTGCAAGCGTGTTCTCTGTGCTTCCCACGCGGACAGCAGCCCTGAGTGAGGTTCGTCCTCAGATCACAGCTCAGCCTCCCAGAGCTGGTGAGGACCAGGCCCACTGCTCCCCTGGCAGAGGGAGGCAAGGTGACCATGGGGAAGGCAGAGGGAGGCGAGGTGACCACGGGGAAGGCAGAGGGAGGCGAGGTGACCACAGGGAAGGCAGAGGGAGGGGACATGACCACGGGGAAGGCAGAGGGAAACCCCTGACCATGTGAGCCTGGAGGCAGGCCAGGCATCTTCGTGGGAGAGCCTTCCCACCTCCCGCCTCTGCCCATCTGCTTGGCAGAGTTCGCCCCCAAACGATGACGCATTTTGGGTGATGACTTCTGTTACATGCAGACCTTCGACCAGTGATGGCGAACCTATGACACGCGTGTGAAAGGTGACACGTGAACTCATTTTTTTGGTTGATTTTTCTGTGTTAAATGGCGTTTAAATATATAAAATAAATATCAAAAATAGAAGTCTTTGTTTTACTATGGTTACAAATATCAAAAAATTTCTATATGTGACACGGCCCCAGAGCTAAGTTAGGGTTTTTTCAAAATGCTGACACGCCGAGCTCAGAAGGTTCGCCATCACTGCCTTAGACAGTAGCCACGTGGGACGGAGCTCATGGACATGCGCTGGAAGGGAAGGGCCTTCTCTGGGCAGAGGGAAGAGAACGGGAGGCCCTGGGCGGGCGAACTGTTGAGGATGCGTGCGCTGCAGGGTCCCGTCCAGGAGCGGGCGATGCGGGGCGGGTCATGTAGGCGCTCGGGTGTCCACTCCCCGGGAACATAGGAGCGGCCCTCACCTGTACTCAGGAGAGCAGGTGAGAGTTCCTGGGAAGGAGCAGCCGCAGCCAGAGTCACTGATGGGACCAGAAGGTGTACGGGGCATGTCTGTCTCCAGGGATCTGTGCTTTCCGAGCCTGCTCTAGGGAGAGTGATGGCTTTTATAAACAGGGAAGAATGACAGAATCACAGCTTTGCTTCCTCTCTCTCTCTCTCTCTCTCTCTCTCTCTCTCTCTCTCTCCTCTCTCTCTCGGTTTGTTAATCCTCAGCCAAGGATATTTTTCCATTGATTTTTAGAGAGAGTGGAAGGAGAGGGAGAGACAGAGAGCACATCGATGTAAGAGAGGCCACCAATTGGTTGCCTCTTGCACGTACCCCAACCAGGGCCGGGAACCTACAACCAAGGTATGTGAATCGAACCCGGGACCCTTCAGTCTGCGGCCGACGCTCTATCCACTGAGCAAGACAGGCTAGGGCTGCCTTTTCTTTTTATACTTAAGAGAAGGCGCCAGGAAGAGAGAAAAGACAGGAAAACAAAGAGACGCGCTCATGCTCAGGGGAGTCTGCCTCTATTGCGAGTGATGGCAACATGGCCCCGGGGCACCCCAGCCAAAGCGCAGGCGGCAGGAATCAGAAACTGAGGAACTGAGAGCCCTGGACTAGTGCCCACCCCCCGCCCCCGGGCCCTGGCTCTGCGCCCTCAGGTCCCAAAGCAGAGGGTTAGGCCACTGTGTGCCTGCCCCGCCCCTCTCCAGGGCTGTCCTCCCCTGTCCGGTGCCAAGCCTGCGTCTCCGGCATCAAAGTAAAGAAATGGAACAAACCCATCCAGGGCGTCTTTAAATATTCAGATGCGCCCCTCACGACTAAATTAAGCTTTCCTAAGAAAAAGCAAGTCAATTAGTTCAAAATGTGGGTTAGTGCTTCTGGGTATTTAAAAGGGGATTTTTTTTTTTCTTTTTTAGTTCATTTAGAAACATAGCCACGGGGCAGGCCTAGACCCGCTCCTCAGCACATCCCTGAATTGCCACCGGATTCCCAGATACTCAGTTCTGACACCCAGAGCTTTGAAATCTGGTTCTCAAAGTCACAAAGGCGTGGCCATAGGAGCTTGGAGCGGATCCTGCTTTGCCCTTTTCCGTCACATCCTTTGTCTCCACCGTCATACGGATGGATCGCCCTCCTAGGCGCCTGGCCCCGCTGCAGAACAGGCCTCCCTGTCTCCCTGGCCTCACTCAGGACCGCAAGCTCCCTAACGCCTGTGGGCAGAGGCAGATCTCCGCCATCAGGATGGGCGGCCGTGGAGCACACTGAGCACGCACTGAAACCCATCTGCCCAAGCTGTCTCCGTGCAATGAGCCCAACTGGACCAAAATGCGAATAGAATTCGGTATTTCTTACGAGGATGAATTGCCAGAGGCAATTTCTGGGCCATAGAATATGACCGCTTTCGTGGCTTTCTTAAAAGGCTATCTCAATTGACATTGACAATAAAAAATATGAGAATAACGTTTTCATACCAATATTAGGGTATAAAGTGTTGCTGTTTTGTACATTATTGTTGGTTTTATTTCACTTTTACTAAATTAATAGGCTATTTTTAAAAATATAGTAGATAGTTTCAGGGACATTTTATGTTTGGAGACAAATATAAATAGCTCCTCCATTATTTAAAAAACACGTATTTGTTACAAGACATTAACACATATCTTCGTTTCCACCTTAATTAGTATTGCAGTGACACTGAAATAAAGGTCATTGAATAATAGGACTAACATCCACTTCAGTCCTACAGACCCTTCAAAGCTACGTTACGAAGGTAAAGAAACTATTATTAATTTTACTTGAACGTTGACAGCCCTCACCCTGGACTTCTGTATTGAGCAGATGAAGTTTCGGTATCAGAATGTGAGGACAGCAGAACATCTTAGGCTCCACGAGAACACACGGCCTTCCGGAGAACTGCGTTCCCCGCAGACTACTGGCTTTACAAACATCTAGGAGACCAGTGGGTGAGAAGATAATTATAGTGACCACGTAGCAACCAGAAACCAAAAACTCCTCTCCTGTCAATCCTTGTGTGAAGTTCAAGCTGACCTGCTTTTTGACAAAGCATCACAGATAAAAAGAGGCAACTCTCTCCTCGCTCCCTCCCGGGAGATGTAGCTGGGACAGCCCGGGGGTTTCAGCAGGAAACCTCTCCTTCTAGTCTGGTGGGTTTGTGGGCATTCCTTTGCCTCTAAACCAGGGGTGGGGAGCCTTTTTCCTGCCAAGGGCCATTGGATCTTTAGAACATCACTTGAGGGCCATGCAGAATGACCAGCGTAAACATTCGCCTGCCCTCTCTGGTCAAACATGTCATTAGCCTTGACTGGGCCAGACCAAATACGCAGCCCACCCCTGCTCTAAACTTTCCTGTCATTCTTCCAAGACACAAGTGGGTCCCTACGCCCAACAGCCCAAGAAAACAGTCCCAGTGTGTTAGGTGCCAAGTGGCAAAGGTGACGCTGCTTCTTGGGCCTGGCCCGCTGTGCTCAGGGCCCCGAACCTCGGTCCAAGATGATGCCGGCTCTCAAAGATTCCCAAGTATTGGGAATGACACACGTATTTTAAGGAAGTTGTTCCCTTGAAGATTCCTTCCTTCCTTCCTTCCTTCCTTCCTTCCTTCCTTCCTTCCTTCCTCCCTCCCTCCCTCCCTCCCTCCCTCCCTCCTTCCCTCCTTCTTTCCTTCTTTCCTTCCTTTTCATTCTCTGGTTCCTAGAAGCTCAGTGTGGTCCAGGGACTCAAGCCTGGGCTGTGGGCCTCACTCTCCTGCCCAGTGAGGTCTGGGCAGCCTGGGCTCTGGGAGACCTGGCCGAGCTGCTCACCCTCTGGGAGGCTCCTGGCCTTGGTGTTCTGTTTGTCACCAAGCCTTCAGAGCAAGAGCTAACCGTTGGATGTTTGCTAATGCTCCAGGCACTGGATTGCCTCCTTCACTAATATTAACCCACTCAACTCTCACAACAACCCTAGGATGGAGGGGCTATTATTATCATCATCCAGATAATAAAGTGGGAGAACTGAGACACGAAAGAGGGCCCCTGGTAAAGCCAAACCAGGCGTCAAAACCGGGCAGACTGGTTTCAAAGGTGAAGTTTTGAACCACTTGGCTGCACCCCCTTCCGTGGGGGTTAGCTCTCTCCACACATGCAGATGGCATATGTGTACGTTTACCGAGTGTCCACCGTGTGCCAGCCACATGCTCGGGAACTCTGCTGGCAGGGAACCAGGCCCGCCGTGACCGATACGACATAGATCTTGCTCTTCTGGAGTTTTCTTCTTCCACTTTGTAGAGGTGGATGGCACGGGTTCTGTTTTCATCCGAGTTCAGAAAAACATTGCTCAAGACCATCTGCAATGGAAGTCCAAGGAATTCAGTAGTGAAACTCTGAAACCAAGACGTGTCAAACTAGCTTCAGTCTGAAGTCAAATTTAAGCTCCCAAATACGTGATGAGTCTTTTAGTGATTAAATCAAGAAAGCCTGGCCTGGGAGGGGTGAGGTAGAAACAAGTGAACTAAGAAATGACTTAAAGTGATGAACCAAAGGTTTTTCTGGCCTCTGCCCCCAGGAGCCCATATAATTCCGTGAATTTATCAGTTTAAATCCTCCCCAACCCCCCTGTCTTAATACATAAATGCCTTCTTCCTCGATTCCTCACTCACTTCTGTAGTCACTTCCTCTCATGCAGTGGTTCTCAACCTTCCTAATGCCGCGACCCTTTAATACAGCTTCTCATGTTGTGGTGACCCCCAATTTCATTGTTACAAACTGAACATAATTAAAGCATAGTGGTTAATCACAAAAACAATATGTAATTATATATGTGTTTTCCGATGGTCTTAGGCGACCCCTGTGAAAGGGTCGTTCGACCCCCAAAGGGGTCGCGACCCACAGGTTGAGAACCGCTGCTCTAGTGTGTCCTGCCAGAGAGGGAATTCCTGGTAAGGAAACAGTAAACCAAAACAGTCATTACATTCTTTTTAGCTTGCAAACAATAATGTTGCCTTGTAGTTACTTTTGTCCTCATTTTTTAAAATATATTATCGATTTCAGAGAAGAAGAAAGAGAGAGAGAGAAGCATCAATGATGAGAGAGAATCATTAATCAGCTGCCTCCTGCACGCCCCACACTGGGGATGGAGCCCACAACCCGGGCATGTGCCTTGACTGGGAATTGAACTGTGACCTCCTGGTTCATAGGTTGCTGCTCAACCACTGAGCCACACCAGCTGGACTGTCCTGATTTTTAAATGTAGACATTCAGATCCATGTTATTTTAAGATTTTTAACCAAGAAGTCTCTTGCCAAAGATAGGATTTCCTTAAAGCACAGAAGCTGTTCACTCCTTCCTTTCAGGGAAATGACAGGGGGTGGGGGGCAAGGAGTGGGGGGCCTCTGCAGGTCCCAGGCACCAGCCTAACCCACGAAAGCATATTGGTTTAGCAGAGGAACCAGGAAGATGAAGGATAACTATGTCAGTTACCTAACAGATGATGCTCAGAAGACTGGAAGCTGAGAGGAGGAAGAGCTGAGTGTGTTTCCTGATAACTGTAACCTTCCCATAAGCGTGACCTGGAAATGGGAGTGGGTGGTTATAAATGAGGGGGAAACATTTGCAGTGTTTCCTTCCGGAACAATCATGTCACGACCTTCCAGTAATCTAAGAAACGGAGAAGCACTCATACACGGATGGTCCTTTATAATGATGATCACAGGGACCAAAGATATGGCGCATCGTGTTGGAGTTGTGCACATCCTAGTGCAGATTCTAGTAAAGAGTCCTCGGACAGTCAAATAATTGCAACCAACGTTCCGCACAGCACTGGAATCATTGTTTTAAAAAATATATATTTCACCGATTTTTTACAGAGAGGAAAGGAGAGGGATAGAGAGTCAGAAACATCTATCAGCTGCCTCCTGCACACCCCCCACTGGGGATGTGCCGGCAACCAAGGTACATGCCCTTGACTGGAATCGAACCTGGGACCCTTCAGTCTGCAGGCCGACGCTCTATCCACTGAGCCAAATGGGCCAGGGCATGTAATCATTTTTCGATAAAGAAGGTATGCACTCTGCGCAGGAAATAAAGCAAGCTTCCTGTGCGTGGTGAGGGCGGGCTGGATGGACTTCAGGATGGGGAGAATGGAAGGCAGGGCTGGGCTGAGGGCAGAAGCCAGCCAGAATCGCCTCTCCCCCAAAATAAGCAGGAGAAAGCTTTGCTCAGTGTCTCAGGTGGAACTGCGTGTGTGGAAGCACCGGATGCTATTAGGGGTCATTTACTAAACCTCCTTTATGAGCTCCCCTGTAACTTCGTGTGGTTGGGGTTTTTAAAGTCAGCAGCTTGGGGAGGGGGCGGACAGCGGTAGAGGAGTCAGTGGTAGGTTTACAGCCGCTCGGTTTTTCTGGTTCTTCCCGGTAAATACTAACCTCAAGAGGTGTTTTCCAACATGTGAGGACGTATCGTGATGGGCAGAGGATTTTGGAAGCGGGTCAAGGGCTGGCGCCAGGAGCCGACTCAGCCTCCGCGCGACCAGGGCCCGGCGCGCTCTCCAAGGTGCGTCCTTGGTCGGTAACGCAGGCGGGAGGCCTGCCGGTGGTTTGCAAACTGTCCAGGCAGCATCTGAAACGGCTGTTTTTCCAAGTCGGTTAAAAAGTGTCTTGCACTTGAAGGTTTTTTTGTTTTGGGGGTGTGTGTGTGTGTGTGTGTGTGTGTGTGTGTGTGTGTGTGTTTTGGTTCTGCTAGTCTCCTCCCCCGCCCTCTGGCTTTTTCCAGCGGAGACCTGCCCTGGGGGGTATTTTGTCCTGGGAGCACAAAACTATTTTCTTTTCTGAACAGAAGTTGACGTCAACCGGAGCTGTTTTGGTTGCTTTGTTTCCCGGAGCGTCCAACCCAGCACATCGCCTCGGGGAAACTGCTGGCAACTCAAAGCAGCTTGCGGGGCGGGGAGGGGAGCGGGGGCGGGGGACCCCCGCTGCCCGGCCCGCAGATGTGGGGAGCGCCTGGCTCCCGGGGGCATGAGTCCCCGGCGGAGGCGGCGGCGGCGGCGGCGGCGGGGCCGGGAGCACAGCCCCTCGGGCCCCTGCTCTGGCGCCGAGGGCCGAGGGCGCAGCCCTGGTGGGTGACTTGCAGGCTCCCACCTGAGCTCTCAGCCGCGGAAACTCCCCACACGCCCGAGCGAGCGAGCGTGGTGGCCGGAAAGGCCGGGAGCGCCTGGGACCGCGGGCCACCCCTCCCCAAAGGGGCCGTGCGCCTGGTGGGTGCCAGCGCGGGTGCGCGGGGCCGCGCGTGGGCAGCTCGCCTCGCTGCTCAGGGCCTGGGCTCCGGGAAAGAAACGCCTTTGACTGATTTCGGGGCGACAATGAATCAGTTTGATCAAAGCCGGCCGCACACCAGAGACGGTCCCCTAGGAGGAGGGTTTTCTGTAGGGAGCAGGGCGGATGGGAGAGAGAGAAAGAGAGGGGGGGGGGGGAGAGAGAGAGAGAGAAAGAGAGAGAGAGTTTCCCCGAGGAGCGGGAGGGGCCTGAGAGGCAGGGACCTGCTCTGACTTGCTCGCACCTGGCGCTGTTTCCCCGACGCTCCCCTGCGCCCCAGGCCGACAGCCGGGACGACAGGGCTGGTCCGCAGAGACAGGATCGCACCATCCGCTCCCACCGCACCATCCGCTCTCACTCAGGCGCTCCCGCGGCCCAGAGACCTAGTTCTGGCTTCTTTCCTTTTCCTTTTTGTTAAAAATTACAAACTGACGGATGCGTTTCTATTGATGAGTAAAATGATAAACTGCCCAGAAGCGGGGGGGGGGGGGGCCATGGGCAATTGACAAGACTCCCGCGGATGAACCGCATAGAACTGGGACAGGGAGGCAAACCCCAGGCGGATGCCAGGAGCTGGCGAGGCTGCCTCCCGAGAGGGCCGGTCCAGTCCCAGGCCCGCCAGGCTCCGGGGCCCTCGTTCCGTCGGTTTCCCTGGCCCTGGGGCTCGGAGCGGCCCGCACTCCAGGGGACCCTCGGGCTGCGGGGGGAGGAGAAAGCGAGGATGCCATTCTAGCTCCGGAGGTGGCCGGGCTGTGATGCCCGAGCCAGCAGCCGCGCTCCCGGGCGGCTCTGGGGGCGCTGCCCTGGGCCGGGACCGCGGGAGGCGGCGACGCCAGGGCGCGCCGGGGGCGGGCATTTGGCTGGAAATGGGGCCGCGTCTCCCCTGGGAAAGCGGGGCCTGCCGAGCTCTGGCCGCCTTTCCAGTTTCGCAGGTGCCCGCCCCCGTGCGCCGAAGGCAGCGCAGCCCCGAGGGCGAAACCGATGGCGGTTGGCAAACTTGGAAGGAGAACGCGCCCAGGACCCGACCGGCTGGAAGAGGGACGGGAGTGGGGGCGGCCGAGACCCAAGTTCACCCTCCCCGCCCGCTCGTCCAACGGGCCTGGGGGGCTTAGGGACGGACGTGGCTCCCACCGGGCCGGGCGCCCGCCAGCGGGAGCGGTGCCAGTTTGCTCCGAAACCGGGAGGGCGGAGGCCGGGGCCGGCGGGGAGGGTCCCCCGGGGTCCCGCGCGCCTCTCTCCGCAGCTCCCCTCCCGCCGCCCCTCCCGCCTGGCTCCCTCGCTGCTTCCCCGGGCGGGCTGGACCCGCGCGGACTTGCCCCGGACCTGCGGGGAGCGCCCCGGGTCCTTAATGACAGCTTGGAAGCGGCTGTTGGAAAAGTCGAAAGGGATGAGGCGGACGCGGGGCGTGTTTCGCTCCTTTGCAAGAGTCGAAAAGGGAGCTGGGAGCTGCGCGCTGGCCCCAGGCCCCCGCGCCTCGCCGCCAGCAAGTAGGTGGGGGAGCCGCCGCCAGCCCCGTCCCGCTCCCAAGCCTCGCCCGCTGCGCCCTGGCCGCGGGCGCCGAGAGGGTGCGGGGCCCGCGGTGCCTCCTCCGCCCTGCGCACTGCCCTGCCTGCGCCACTCCGCTCCGGGCGGCCCCAGACGCGGGCCTCTCCGCGCAGCACCCGCGGCCCGCCCGGCGCAGCCGCCTCCCTGCACCCCGGCTCCGGGGGGCCATGAGGGGGCGGTGGAAGGGGCACTGCTCCTCGGGCATTACTTAGAGACGCCGGACCGCCCCGCCCTCCCGCCCGCCCGCCCTCTCTCCCGCCCGGGCCCGCGCGCCACTCCGCCAGAGGGTAAGTCGGGAGTGCTTCACCCCCTCCGACAGCTCTCCCTCCCCTTCCCCCCCTCCCCACCCATCAAAGTTTTCTGAACCGTGGGGCGATGGGTGGAGGAGGAAGAGGGTCCAGCCAGCCTCCGTCCGTCCTTCCCCTCGCCGGGTCTAACTTTCCCCACCGCCCCTCCATCCCCCGCGGAGCCGCGCGGCGAGCTGACAATTGGAGCGCGGCTCCTTTAAGAGCCCGGCTGTGCCTCCCGGTAGCTGAAGGTCATTAAACACAAAAGCGCTCGGCGCTGCGGTCCAATATAGCGCATGCGCCCTGCCCGGGGACTGGCAGGGAGACGGCAATATGGCGAGAATGCCTGGCCGCGGGGACTGGAGCACCAGCGCGGGCGGCAGCGCCACCGCCGCCGCCGAGAACAATGGGGAGCGGGGCGAGGGCGAGCGCGGGGCGCGGGGTCGCGGGCGCCGCCGCGGCCGCCCGCACGACTGCAGCGCGGGCGAGGAGGAGGAGGAGGAGGAAGAGGAGGACGAGATCCAGGAGGTGCAGATAACGGGGGACGAGGAGGAGGAGGACGCAGGCGGGGGGCTGGAGGAGGACGAGGAGGAGGAGGAGGAGATGGGGCTGGACTGGGATGCGCGCCTGGAGCCCGAGGACTCGGCCGGGGAGGAGCTGGAGCCGGAGCCGGAGCCGGTCCGTAGGATCGATATGGACCAGGGCGCCGCGCTGGAGCCCGAGGCGCCGCCGCGGCTGCTGCCGGCCCGCGCTCGCGGCGCGCCTCCCGGGGACGGCGCGGAGCTGGACCCCGACGGGCTGCAGCGCCCCGAGCGGGCCCGGCTGAGCGAGAACACCCGGCTGGCCACCCGCTACGCCGTGCGCATCTTCCGGGAGTACCTGAGCGAGAAGGCGCAGAGCCCGGACTTCGAGACCATGGACAAGGGGGCGCTGTGCCGCGTGCTGCGCTCCTTCTACGCCGAGGCGCGCTCCAAGAGCGGCCAGCTCTACAGCAAGTCGTCGCTCATCAGCATCCGCAGCTCCCTCAACCGCTACCTCAACGAGCCGCCCTACTGCCGCACGCTCGACCTCACCAAGGACCCCGAGCTGCGCAGCGCCAACCTGACGCTGGCCGCCGTCATCCGCAAGCTGGAGGAGCAGGGCGCGGGGCCCGTGGTGCAGAAGCAGGCCATCACGCGCGCCGACCTGCGCAAGCTCTACACCTCCAGCGTCTTCGGCGCCGGCACGCCCTTCGGGCTGCTCAACAAGGTCTGGTTCGAGACGTGCATGTACTTCTGCACGCGCGGCCGCGAGAACCAGCGCGAGCTGGAGGAGGACTCCTTCGGGCTGGCCATGGACGAGGACGGCCGCAAGTTCGTCTACTTCAAGTCCCTCGGGCCCTACCACAAGTCGCGCTCGTCGTCCTGGAGCAAGAAGCGCGCGGAGAGCAGCGACGAGGAGAACCTGCCGCGCATGTACGAGACGGGCACTGAGTTCTGCCCCTACGCCAGCTTCGTCAAGTACCTGTCCAAGCGCAACCCGCTGTGCAAGGCGTTCTTCCAGCGGCCGCGGGACCACTGCAGCGAGGGCGACGTGACCTGGTACGAGAACAAAGCCATCGGCAAGAACTTGCTGGGCACCCGCATGCAGATGCTCTCCAAGGCGGCCAAGCTCTCCAAGACCTACACCAACCATTGCATCGGCGCCGTCTCCATCGCCACGCTCAATAGCATCGCGGGCATCGGCACCAAACTGGGCTCGCCCGCCCTGCAGGGCTGCTACGCCGAGGCTCTGAACGGGGCGGCCCGCCACCACTCCCACCACCCCCCGGCGCCCCCCTCCCACCACCACCGCCCCCAGCCGCCCGCGCTGGGGAACACCTACGTCCTCCCCAAAGACAGCCTGGGCGCGCCCGACGTGAAAGCCGAGGCTGCGCCCAAGCGCGCCCTGTACGAGTCGGTGTTCGAGCCGGGGGAACTCTGCGGCCCCTCTTCGCCCAAAAGACTCTGCCTCCGGCCCTCGGAGCCCGTGGACGCGGCGGTGGTGGTGGTTTCCGTGAAACACGACCCCCTGCCTCTTCCTCCCGAAGCCAATGGGCACAGAAGCACCAGTTCTCCCACCATAGTTCCACCTGCTATTGTTTCCCCCGCCCAGGTAACCGAACTAAACTCTGTGCATGCATGTTTCTTCCGTGTGGCCGGGAGGCTAACTTGTGCTCATGCGGGTCTGGGTTGGGGCAAGTTTGAAAAAGTAGCAGATATGCGGGATCCCCTTCGGTTTCGCCCTGAGGAGCTTAACTCTGGGCGCTTTTCAGGGAAGTTCGCACCTGGCCTCCGAAGGGGGAGAGGGCCATCGCCCTAATAATTACCCCAACAATCACAGCTGCGCTTCAAAGTTAGCAGAACAAAAGGGTGAGCGCGCCCACAGCCTCTCATTGAAGGCAGGGGTTCTAAGGCCAGGAATGCGGGGTACTGCACGTAAACGTAGAATATATTTGCATAAAGGAACCATTAAAATACTCTATTGCATATTCACCATAACTTACGAAGTTCGGGCACCAGTTATAAATTATGAGAAAGCAAGCGTGCCAAGCCCACTTCCTGTAAGGAGGCGGGAGTGGAGGGCCTGGCCGCTCCGTGCCAGTAGCATGTAGTTGAATGTAAAGTGACGTGTGGGGTGTCATTAACATAAACTGAGGTCACGGCTGAAGTTACTATTAGATGGAAAGGAGACCTGCCCCAGCAGCCAGGCTCTGCCCGGAACATGGGCCCTGTGGTGCCCCGCACTGGGGCACGCAAGCGTTGCTGTCTTTCCCAGCCCCAGGGAGCTCACGATGGGCGGGGGGGTGCCGACAGGACGTGTGAATATAGGGAATTAAGACACACAGCACAGGATGTGGCACGAACCCCAAAGGAAGGGTCGTGGCCCAGAAGCTGAGCCACCTCGGGCAAGTCGGCTCACCTCTCTGGGCTTCGGTGTCCTCCTCAAAGATCAGGGCAGTGTTTTTTTGTTTGTTTGTTTTGTTTTGCTTTTTTATTGCAAAGGTGGAGATTGATTGAAGAACAAGTACAGATTCCCACGTGGGGAGGGGAAGGGAGTCCCCCAGGGCAGCGTTTTAACACTGAAGTTATTAATTCTACGCAGCACCACGTTCTAGGTGGAGACTGGGGGCTTAGGTGGAGGCTTCTGGTCTTGGGGTTTTCCCTGGCGGAATCTATTCGCATGATTAAAGTGGCCTTTATCTCGGAGACTCCTCTCTCCCAGCCAGACCCCGGAGGGCCCTGGGGCCGGGCGGCTCTGCAGGCCGGAGCAGCCACCGGAGGTTTCACAGCTGTGCCCTCCCTGCCAGCGAGCAGAGTGGAATCCGGGCTGTACGTCTGCAAGTGCAGTGCAGGCCCTTCAGGGAACAGATGTCAGGTACCTCTGCGCTTTTTCCGAAGTGGAAATTCCAGTTCTGGACAAACTGACCCTTTCAAACATTTACCAGCTAATCAGCGAGCCTCAAGGCCAACTGAGAAAGGCTGTGAGCGATCATATAAACACCCAAGTTCTCGAAACTCTGCGAGGCTGTGGGCTCTGGGTCTTCCTCTCTGTACTCCTGGTGTGTGGAGCGCGTTTCTGACAGGCCCGGAGGTTGGCTTAGGGCAGGGGTGGGGAACCTTTCTTCCTGCCAAGGACCACTCGGCTATTTATAACATCCTTCGCGGGCCATACAGAATTATCAGCTCAGAAATGAGCCTGCTATATTTGGTCAAACATTTAATGAACTGCCCCCTAATGCCTTGGCAGGGCCAGACCGAAGGATTTCTCAGGCCTTATATGGCCCGCGGGCCCATGTTCCCTACCCCTGTTTTAAGGAGGATTTTTTCTCTTTGGAGAATTTGGGTTTGCTTTTTCTTTGAAAGCAAAAATGAATGTTCATATTCTTCTACTAAAGTGAAAACCCTTAAAACGTCCTGGTTCAGAATAGCATCTGGTTAAGAGTTAGAAGCCTACGAGAGTTTAGTACAGTGCATGTCTGCTCGGAATAATAACGACACAGTTCGTCTCCCGGCGTCTGTCTGCTGGCTTCCTGACACCCGTGTCATTACAGAATCATGACCTAAGACCCCGGCGATTCGCCGGGTTTGTGTAGCTGCTTCCTTTTGTTTGAAGGAGTGTAGTCTGTCGCAGTCTTTTATTTTAACCGGGTGAGACACATCCGTTCTCTAAACCTGAAGACTAATTCTTCTCTTTTTTTCTTGAGTTGCCGGTTAGCTCCCAAGTTAAGTATGAATGTGAGTGTCCACATATTGGTTATGTCCTTACCATGGCTCTCGAACTAAGTCCCCTGTAGTTAAAAATGCAACTAAAAGTTGTTCTCTCTGCACATAGTTAACAGCCAGCTTCTCACTGACGTTGGAGCCAGCTTTTAGAAATCAGCAGTAAGAAATGTACAGGCACGCTGCAGTAAGCACCAGAGAACTCGCTGTAGGAAGCCCGAGTATTCTAGGTCTAAAACCAATGTTTCCACAGAAAGCTGAGCTTAAACTCTTCCTGCGCCTGTTTATTAAAACCACTGTAGCAGTTGAGGTCCAGGGCATTTCCTGGGATTGATGACTGGCCCAAGGCATAGCTCCAGGTGGCCATCTCCTCCAGCTGGCACGGATCCCTGGGGAATGCCATGTGCCCGTCCCGGTCCAGTCCTCGGTACTTAATTATCAACACGGGCTGTCTGACCTCGCTCCTGACGGGACCCCGAGTGCTGTGTCCCCGAAGTCCACTGGTGCCCATGCTATTCTGGACTCTCGCTAATGCCGCCACACCCTGGTGCTGTAGTTCCTTTCTAACATTGCGAGCTTCTCAAAAAAATGAAGAGCCTGTTACTTTTCAGGGGTGGGGCCCCGTTTTTTCTGCCAAGGGCCATTTGGATAGTTAAAAGATCATTCGAGGGCCATCCGAAGTCATCAACTTAAAATTAGCCAGCTGTACTTGGTCAAACATTTCGTTAACTCCCCCTAATGTCTCGGCAGGGCCAGCCCAAAGGATTTCATGGGCCTTATGCGGCCCGCAGGCCGGCGTCCCCCACCGCTGCATTTAAATGCATTGACCCTTTTTCTTAGGACGTTAATAAGCGAGTTGGTTATGGGACTGGCTGGAAAATGAGTGCGCTTGAGGATTAACGAAGATGGAGTTTGTGATTTTCACTCCTGTGAAGTGCCTGGGTTTTGCTTTTCACTGGGGGGGCGGTGTGATGGTTGCTCTGATTCGCTCTTTAACTCTTCCTCTTGAATGGCTGTGTTCAACGTCAGGAGTAGGTTTAGTTCCCTTTTCCCCCAC